ACGCTGATTGTCAGGGCTTTTTTAATTAATTAGTCTCATTTTTTGTCTCTTTCAATCTCTGGTTTCTGTCTCCGTTTGATAAGTTGCTGACAAGCAGATTTTCGACATGGGCCATTTCTCTTTGGGCCCAAAAGCAGCACAAAGTCTGCAGGCCATGCTTATGCGGAGGCCTTTGCTTCGGTCTGTTCCATAATCGGCTTATGCCCAGGACGGTGCTAATTGATAAATTTTAATACGAACAGAGGGGAATCTTACACCGAAAGAAAGGCAGGGACAGAGATCCCATAGAGTAAATGGAAGCGTAAGGATCAGTTTCCTATATAATGGGAATTTAATATGAGAAGAATAAACTTCATCTGAAGATCCAGAAAGATGAAGTGTGACAGCGGTGCTGCGTTCCCTTTGCGGCATAAGACTTACCCCTTACTGCGCTAAGCTACTCTGTAAAAGAGCATTTTCTTGTTAAATTCTGTTATTCAGTGCACAGAGGAAATACATTCGTTTATTTTTGGCAGAGCAAAGTGAAATGCGCCCCGCCCCAGCTTTCAATCAATCAATCAACTAAATGATGATTTTCAATTAAGTTTGATGCTCAATTAGAAAACCTGGATGAATGCAGACTGTGGAGCTGCAGGGCTGCTGGGCTGACTTTCTGATTGCTCTTTCTAGAGCAGGAAAACATCATTCGAACGTTAAAGGAAATCAAACACATGCCAATGCATCCAATTCAGCCTCGGCACCACTCCCCACACCCCCCACCATTGCCCGGCAGCTAAGCTGCAGCTTACTTTGGCGAACACACACACACACATACAGTACTGTACAGAACACATGTATAGGTATGTGTTAGCCTGGTTTTTGCCTTGGCTTCTGCCAGCCAATTTCCTTCATTTTCCTATTTTCTTTTTTTTTTTTGTGTGGACCTTTTGCAAATTTGTTCGAGGGAGAAGAGCTTAAACTTTTCAATCTGAACTCGTTTCTCGTATCTGGAGCAAAATCGGATTCGTACACATATTTGCCTTCAATTTAAATGATGAGAACATTTCCGCTCTCCAGATAACTCAATTATTTATATATTTACATGGAATGCTCGTCCGAGCATCCAAGAAATGGCGGTGGGGGGGAAGGAAAACTGCAACTAAGCGGAAAAAATAATGGCGGAAAAGCTTAGCAAACTTTTGGCTAAACAGCTCAGCGAAAGGGAAGAAGCCTTTGGCCATACAGTTTTGTTTGGTTATTTTATTTGGCAATTAGTTTCAATTGCTGACGGATACTCTGAAGCTGGAAATATAAATTGGCATTAAAACCAAACCATTTTCCCATTTGCATAAATATACACATTTTCTGGTCAACTAATTGCATGGAAATTTATTTGAAATGCCATTAATTTACGTACATTTCTAATGAATGCTAAAAGTTAAATTAATATGCAGTTTATTTATTGATTTTGTATCGATAAACAAAGTGGAAAAGTTGCAAAAATACTGCACCAAATGTCAATTGCAGTTCACAAAATGGTCAAAATTCTATCAATTATGAAGTGCACAAAAAGTATGGCAGCCAAATGTCAGGGTAAATGTCGCATTCACATGCCAAGAACTGCAACCAAATTGGTAGATTCCACAACAAATAAATAAATAAAACCAAAATAAAATTCGGGTCAACCGAACCGTCAGAGCTCGCCACTTTTATTCGCACTACCCGTATCAATAATAAAAAAAAAATACCTTCACATCCAATAGAACACAAATCAATGCAAAGTTTGCAATACGTATCCGTTGTTCAGTATTCAAATGGCACTCTGGCAGGGCTTGTAGTTCTGTCCTTCAACGAATTTGAGGTCCTCTAGCGGATTCACTCTCATTGATATACGAATGCGTTGGCAAGGAAAAGTTGGAACTTAAAACACTCCAACTGTGTGTTATCCAGCCCAGGCACTAGAGAACGAGTCAGAGACTGCAGATGGAATACGAGTGTGGTGCGCGCTCGAAAGCGGATAAGCTCTGGCTATGCAAAAAAGAGTAAAAATAGAGAAAGCCCTCCGGGGGGCGCCCCTCGTTTGGGCTTCCCCGGGGGGGGGCCCCCCTGAAAAAAAGAATTAGAAATGAAACCAAGTTGAGGAAATCAATATTATGCAGACAGCGCAGACAACTAGCCATCATCCTGCCTCTCATTGTGATGAGTGGGACTGACTGCCAGCTCAACTGTTGCACAGTAGAGAACAAAACCCACCCAACCAAGGCTCGTCGACGACTGACTGAAATTGCCACTTGACAAATTTCCACAGGCAGCCGATCCCCCCCTCTCTCTCTCTCTCTCTGCTGTCTTTGGCCAAAAGTTTTCTGTGTGTGTGTGTGCCCCATCCATATGGGGCGTGGTGCTAGAAAAGTTTTTGCTTCGAAAGTCCAACAACTTGACCAAGAACCATTTCAAATGGCTAATCGTCAAATGTTCTGGCAATGGCTTACCAGGGACATGCCATCTCGATATCTCGACATGTCGCTTCTCATTAAAAAGTAAAATAAACAAGCAAGGGGGCGAAAAACTTTTGCCCACCCCCACCCTTCCCAAAAAGGAAAGCAGTACTGGAAAATCCACTTGAGAACGCAGCAAAAGTTTTTCATTTATAACGAGCTCAGGTTCCCTCAAGTGGTGCATAGAGACAGACAGAGCGAACGAGGGCTAGAGGGCACAGTGTATGACTGACTCTGCTGTACAAATAGCAATAGAATCCCCCTCAATGCCGTGGGTTATGTGTAGAGTATCTGTACGTATGTATGTACATATGTATGTTTGTGTGTATCTGCCAAAACTTTAAATGCGCGGTAATGAAATGGTTGGCAGCAACACAGCATCCACACATAGAGAGCGAGAGAGAGACACACTCAGAGACAGTCATCATCAACACCATTTTATGGCAGGGTTCCGTTCGTTCCGGCTGAGAGCGGCTTCCCGCAGCTTTTGCCGGTAAGCCAAAAAGTTGCCCCAAAAATGTTTTGCAGGGTGTGCAGGGAGGGGGTTAGGCCCCTATACCCGTATAGTCTCAAGGATAGCAACAGCCACTACTATAGCTGTAAAGTGTGCTAAGTTTTTGGGTGCTATGCACAGCGAGAAGGAGAGAAAGAGAGAGCATATTTCGTTTGAGCTTCTAGTTTGGTTTATGGCCATTTGAAGAGCTTAACATCTGAATGAATTACGAGTATATTCAATGAAGTCAAAAGTTTTTGGCTGGATTTCTTGGCTCCCACATTTAGGGTGCCTAATGTGCATGTTATTCGGATCAGGCAGTCCAACACTTTGTGGTAGATTTAAAAAAACATTTAAGCAGCCCTTGGATCGAACACACAATAATTTACAAGTGCTCTTAGGGGGCAAATAGACATTTGTGTCTATTTTTATTTCGATTATTTGAAAAGTTTTGGAGCACCAACTAAGCAGTTACATTTTTGTACTTTTAAGAAACTTTTCAAGTTAAAGAAACACATTCCAAAAGAACTTCAAAGATTAAGCCAAGGCATATTTTTGTATGGCCTGTTGTTCGGTTGAAAATCATTTAAATAAATTACAGAGAAAGTGCTTGGGTAATTTCGAGGAGTTAAAACATTAAAGATTACAGACAGAGGAAAGAGACGTTTTGTTTAGCTTGCAACTCCCAGCAAGGACTCAAATGTGCTTTGGGAATTACTCGTACTTAAAGTTAGCCAAGAATTCTGAGCTCACTTGTAGAAACTTTCTTTGAATCTGATCTCCCAACTATTCAGAATTCCTCCGAAAGTTGGCTCGTAATATGTACAATTTTCCCAACAAATATTTACCTTTAGGCAGCCGCTCTACAAAAGCTTTACTTTATTGTTTAACCCAATAAACTACCGATTGAATAATTCAATAAAATTAAAACACATACAAAAAACATTGCTGTGTGCGTGCGTATACTTTCGAAGCGCATTGATGTGTCCATCATTATTTGTGCATGTTAATTGCCCGTTTTATGGACTATTTGTTTGGACTAATTACGGCAATAGAGTGGAAAGTGTTACACTTCAACGATATAATGGCCATCGATTGCAATGGAACTCCTATTTAATCAGGTAGCCAGCTGGAATGATGATGCCAATCTGCTTGAACTTCAATCATTCAGTTAATTACCACTGCTGGGCATTCGCATAAATTAGGCAGCTGCAAATACTCTGATCGAGTCGAATCGAATTATTCCATAATTGTGTCATAATTTAGCAAGCAGCTGTCACCGTTTGGCTTATTGAAACAATTTTGAATGGTAGCTGGAGGGCCACACCAGGTGTTAGTGACCTGCAGAAAGTCCTTCTAGATTCCGATATATAGCTAATGGCATTTAAGTATGGTGTTTAGCCACTGAGCCTTCTTCAGTAGCGTAGTTTGCGAGGTTATTAAAGCGACGATGATGGTTAATTTAATATACATAAATTTATTGAAGCGTATTATAGATAACGTATAGCAGCAGAAAAATAGCGAAAGGTGTGCGGATGTCATAGCGAGAGTTCACGGTGAGTCGATTGATCGATTCCAGACGGAGTCGATTGAAGACACGAACTAGGTACAAGACTGTGCTAGAGAAATGAGTGCTAGATCAAGACTAAGTTCAAGGGCAGGCGGGCCGAATTGCCCGTGCCCCAATGCGAGCGAGACAGCGACAGATCAAAAGAGGAGAGTAATAGCGAAGGCTGCATAGGCTGCTGCCATACGGGAGCGCATCCAAATACATACGAGTATGTAGACTACAATGTGGGATTACAGTGGGCAGTGCCAATGGCAAGCAATGCTAGGGATTTACTAGGGATATACTCTACATACTCTACGTACTCCACTGCTAGTATCGGGGCTGCGTTGCCCAACGTGTGTATGGTTCCAGATGTAAATAAAATGGCCATCTGTTCTGTCACAAACTCAAAATAATTGTACCTTTTCCATGTGCAAACAAAGCAGGCGTTGCACATATATCAGTCAGTCATTTAACAGATATCGACTATAATGTTTCGTTAGTCTTGTTCTACTCCCTGCTCGTTTGTTACGTGTTTTGTTATTTTCAAAAAAATTTGTGGAAAAATTTCTAGTGTATTTTAAAATTGTTCGTAGTTTTTTATTGTTTTTGTCTTACGTTTAAGTGTAGAAAGTTCTTAGTTGGCTTGCGACCCTTTTGGCTTTGTCAGTTCGCAAACTCTTGCAACGATTCTCAGCGATGAACCGCTTGCGTAGGACGTTCCTGAAGTCGGTCATCCGGCTGCGCAGCCCGGTGGTGTCGATCATTCGGCAGGCGTGCGGCGAGCCGCCTGGCTTCAAGGGTCTCGTGGTGGGACTGTACCAGAAGGAGGGCGACAAGGACCCCAAGCTGACGCCCAGCGGCGAGAAGCTGGACGATCGCCTGCACGGCAAACTGTCGGAGCTAATCTGCCAGACGAAAATCGACGGACGGCTGGGCCGGGGCAAAGTGTTCAACAGCATCGATCCGGATTATCGGGCCATTGCCGTGGTCGGGCTGGGGCTCGAGGGCATCGGCTTCAACGAGCTGGAGATGATCGACGAGGGCATGGAGAATGTGCGCATGGCCGCCGGCATTGGTGCCCGCTCCCTGCAGGAGGTTGGCTGCCACGAGGTGTGGGTCGATGGCATGGACTATGCCGAGCAGGCGGCCGAGGGCGCTGGCCTGGCCACCTGGCGCTTCACCCAATGCCTGTCCAAGCGCAACACCCCGATGATACCCAAGCTGGAGCTATACGATTCCCCCGATACGGACAACTGGACGCGCGGCGTCTTCAAGGCGGATGCCCAGAACCTGGCGAGGCGGCTCAGCGATGCCTCGGCCAACTGCATGACCCCCACCACCTTCGCCCAGAACGCCGTGGATGCCCTCTGTCCGTGCGGCATCACCGTGGAGGTGCGCACCATGGACTGGATCGAGAACCAGAAGCTGCACTCCTTCCTAATGATCGCCAAGGGCAGCTGCGAGCCCCCCGTGCTGATGGAGCTGAGCTACTGCGGCACTTCGCCGGAGGACAAGCCCATCCTGTTCGTGGGCAAGGGCCTCACCTTCAATTCGGGCGGCATCAATCTGCGTCCGTGCAGGGGCATGGACGAGTACCGCGCCTCCATGTCCGGGGCCGCCGCCTGCGTGGCCATGCTGCGCTGCTGCGCCGCTCTCTCGCTGCCCATCAACATTGTGTGCATCCTGCCCCTGTGCGAGAACATGCCGTCGGGAATGTCGTGCAAGCCCGGAGATGTCGTCACCCTGCTCAATGCCAAGTCCATGGCTGTGCGGGATCTGGACAAGGCCGGTGTGGTGATGATGGCCGATCCGATGATCTACGGCCAGAATGCGTACAAGCCGCGCCTCGTCATCGATGTGGCAACTATGGGCATGGGCGTACAGAAGGCTATCGGTGGCGGCGCCACCGGCATCTTCTCCAATTCGCATTACATTTGGAAGCAGTTCCAAGCGGCCGGCGCCCTCACTGGCGATCGTGTGTGGCGGCTGCCCCTGTGGAATTACTACAGGAAGCAGGTCACCGACGAACTTGGCTACGATCTGAGCAACGATGGTCGTGGCCGTGCCTCCTCCTGCCTGGCGGCCGCTATTCTACACGAGCTGGTGCCCTGCTCCGATTGGGCACATCTCGATACGCGCGGCACCGGGATGCTCACCAAATACGGCATCATACCCTATCTGACGCAGGGCCGCATGACCGGGCGACCCGTGCGGACCATGGTGCAGTTGGTCTATCAATTGGCCTGCCCGGCTCAAAATTAATCGTCTAAACAACCCTGGATTTGATTTTTAACCAATAAATATCCGACCAAATGTCATTTTATTGCAACAAGAGTTTTGTACGAACTAGTTCCACTTATACTGAACTGGCTCTAAAAAAAAAGTCAAGAATTAAAAAGAATTTCGACCAAAGTTCTTTCACTTAATGCAATTTCCACTGATTATATTTTAATTTCAAATATTTCACCGACTTGACAAGGTTTTATTTCGAAACTAGATCATTTTACCTCGGAACTAGTTCACTTTGGTTCGTTTTGCAGCGCGAACTAGTTCTAGATTTTGGATTTTAACTGAGTAACCGTTTAAATTTTGCTCATTTTTATGTTTTCTGTCAACTTAAATCTGAAATTTAAAATTGATTACCTCCATGAACCACTTTCAGCTGTAGTTGCAGCTCTACCTATGAGCCAGAACATGAGCCAGTTGCTACCTTTTCGTTGGCCCCGTCCCTCTCCAATTAGGCAAACAAATTGTGGGCCATTTTCACACATTTGACACGTTTTAGCCATTTTCAGGCCCATCCACGAGGATGCCCCAATGGGCACGACCAAGTCCTTGCGCGGGTAAAAGGATATTTGCATTTACATACATATAAGCTAAACCGCCACCCACCCACCGTTATCTGGGGCCGCCTTGAGTCGTGTCGTTGCTGATGAAATTGCTGCAGGATATTACTTTGAATTATCATAAATAACAGAGCAATACAGGGATGTGTGTGGGGGGAAATAGGATCAGGTGCCCTTTATGTTCCACCCTTATGATGAGGCTATGCTTTGGGTGTGTGTGTTTGTGGTTCTCCAATATTGTTGTCTCAATATGTTAATCAGGCCATCCTGTTGGTATCCATTCATTTCGCCACAATACAAACTTCAATAAGCTGCCATGTAAAACCCTTTAAAATTCAGTCCCTGCCAGCTCAATGGATTTCTGGCGTTTGCTTAATGCTCGTAATGCCAAGTGAAGTGCAAATGGATTGCCACTTGAAAAAAAAAAAAACAAAAGAGAAATGCGGTAGTTCCGGCCGAGCCTTTTACTCAGATTTTCCACTGATTGGTATTTAAAATTTCATTAAAATTCTTTTCCGTTTTACACAATACAACGACAAGGACACTCTGCAGATGGAAACGAAAATGTTGCTTCGGTTTTTCTCTCACTCTTCGGTTCGGATATTAAACATTTTCATCATTATCCCCTGCTGCTGTACAGCACAGCTCCTGCTGTTGCTCTTACACGTGCCTGATGCCATTTATCTATAGGGGGGGATAAACCTATATATTAAGTACTATGTATATGTACGAGTATATGTAGAGGGAAACAGTTTCACAGTTGGTCTTTGGTCCCTGACACGTACTGACCGACCGTGCGACATTTTCAATTTACGATGTATTTCATTTTTCATTACATATATTGGACTGTAGGAATTAAATTATGCTTTTACCCCCAGACCAAAAGTGCTGCAAAAACATTGCAAAATGAACATAATTCTGTTGAAGCTTTCACTCAGCATCTTTAGTGTGGAGGGGCCGCCCGCCTGGTTAAGTCAACAATAATTTGTTTGTTAACAAAGCCAAAATTCAATTACAGTTGAGAGCACGGGGCCACAAAAGGCAGCAGGAAGGCAAGGCGGGCACAATGTACTTAGGATATACTCGTAGGGGGAGGGAAAGCCTTCAGCCTATACAATATTACAACAAAAGAAGGGTTATGCTGGGGCTAGACGTTGGGAGTATGTGGAGTGTGTGTGTGTGTGTGTGGGGAGACTTTTACTTCATAGAACTTTTTCAATTTGTTTTTCTTGCTCTTGTTGCAACACTTTTCCACAGGTTTTACGGAGGGAACAACCGTTCAATCTGTTACCAAAATAGAATAAAATAAAATATATACAAAGACTACTAAAAATTTATATATTCAATTGGCAAAAACAAAACTGCCATTACACAAAGCCGTGGCTGAAGCTGCGCTGATTATCCAATTACCAACTGGAATTAATATTTGTCTTACACGTTGAAAATATTCATTCAATTGAACTAAAATCTGCTTTTAAAAAAGTTATTGTTGATTTTGCTGCAAGACAAAAGTTATAAAAAGTTATAAATATGCTGCCAATCAATATATATCTTACATTTGCAGCGGCCTGGTGGTCATCGTTTGATTCTTCAGCTGCCTTGTGGTCATCCTTTGATTCCTCTGGGCCGACTTCTGGCCGGTACATCTTGAGGGTTTCGTGCGTGTTTCGGGTGGCATCTCCGCGAACCATCACCAGTTTGGTCGAGTTCCAAACTCGATTCACCACTATCGGCAGCATGGCCAGCACAATGCGATACATTCTCAAAATGTTATACTAGAACAGAAAATTTGACTAAAAACAAGAAAACCTAAAAAAAAAAAAGACTACAAAATTTTTGAAGCCTTAAAGTCAACGAGGGGGGAGGGTGCGATAAAATTTGAATGTGAAAATGTGAATGGAAATTGTTTGACATTTCAGTTTGAGTTCCGCTTTCCACAGCCCACTGTGTCCACACCCCGCCACACCCTGCACCGAGGGCACTATTCAAATGAATGATTCTCTGTGTGTGTGTGTGTGTGTGTGTCCAGTCCGGTTGACTGCCTCGGAAGCTGGCGCCCCAAACTAAGTTTGCTGCCAATAAATCAAATTCCCAATCACATCAGAGCATCAAACCAATTTTCAGTCCTCTTTCTCCACTTTGCCCATTAATCAATCAGAAAAGTGTGAGTGAGCTGGAGGGGGGGTATGTATACCGGGTCGAAACGAGAATGAGGCCAAACGGAAGTTGTCAGAGGGTCTTTGGGTTCGGTTCATCCATGCCATGCATATGACAGAGAGTTTTAAAGCTTTGGGTTAATATTTGACTCAATTAAAGTGGGGCTCTTAATTAAGCTGCCAACGGAGAGAGAGAGAGTCCAACTAGAGGATGGCAGGACAGCATCGCATCTGTCTCAAAAGCTGTCAGATCTTGCCCAGCATAGATGTGGAGACGACACTGACGACAGCAGCGAGGACGCGGAGGACACATTGCCAAAGGCAATAATCGCAATTTAATATTCATGGCGTTCTCACAGTCAATGTATTTTGAAAATGTTGCAGCTGCAGACGAGGCAAACTAAAGTACTCGCTCGATACGAGCAGTTTTTTTTTCCTTGCAATTTTCTCTTCATGTTTGACTGTCAGGCGGCGAGAGTTTTGTTCAGACTTGGGCATCGACTTGGAAATGCGATATTTCGCTGGTACATGCAAGTCAGATCTAGTTTAGTTTAGTTGGATCGAAGTGTGTTGGAGCTACTCCGCGAAGTGTGGAGTCTTGCAGTGTTTTGTCGCCTGTACAGCTGTTTTCCTTGGGGGTTTCCCCGCATCGTTGTCATACATTCAATAAGCCAGGAACCCCAGGCAGTCAGAGGCAAAGGCAAAGGCAGAGGCAGCCGCTCCGCAGACTACACACAGTGCCACACAAAGCTGGCGACACCATTTGCTCATCAGTTATTTATCATATTGTGAACTACCAACCCTCCACCACTCTCGATTCCCCTCCTTCCTCCTACTATGCTTCTCCATTTTTCTAGTTTCTTTAACTTCCTTTCAGTCCATTGTGTGTGTGTGTGTGTTTGTGTTTGTGCATTCCTTTAGGGCTCTACATATTTTTTTCCGAGCACTTCCGCTGGATTTCTTGGCTAGTTTTGCCTGACTCGGCGGCCAACTAGTTTTCCCAAAGCTGATTTACTTTCAGCGATAAGTGAGGGGAGGGCGCACTCTGTATGGGAAGGGAGGGGACAGAGTTTTTCCGCCTCTAAGCTTTTTTTGTGTGTGTGTTTTTTTTCTTTGCTTCTGCCCAAATTTATGACTACTGAATGGGCAGACGTCTGTGAATTAATTCTCCCTCTCCCACGCTCCTACGCTCCTATTTTGGTTTCTCTTCCATGGAGCATTATCATCACATCAGCTGCTTATGCTGATTGGGGGTATTAATAACAGGGCTGGCTGGCTGGCTGCAGGGCGCTGTCTGGCCCAAAACTGATTTCACAGCCATATGCCCCCAAGGAGAAATGTTCTGCAATGGATGGAATTGGCATGGCATGGAAAATAGTTGGGCACGTGCTCAATGGCCATTGTTGGTGGATAGAACGTTCGCTTATCAATTTGTTGGCCAACAATTTTTGTATCATTTTCTTATACCAAAAATCTCTTGCGGGTTTCCATTGTTTTTCCTACCCGTACATTTAAATGATTAATGATTGTTTAAAAAGCCTTGGGTGCCCGCTGTGTGTTCATTGCTGACTCCATTTGTGCCTCAATTTTTAGGCTTATAAACCATTTGGCTTATTGACATAATTGCCTCTGGAAATATATACGCCATAAACTAGTCAGTGGCTGTGTTCTATGCTATCCCCCCATAATGAGCAAACATCTGGCCTAGAATCAACATTTGACTTGCCCATGAATAATTGCATAATTTATAATGAAAATTAAATGTAAATTTGCCCAAGAAGATGCCACTCCCCAGCCCCCATCCAACCTAGTATCTGCTGTCGCTCTGGCAAATCTCTTTGCATAATTGAAAGACCCGGCCAGGATGTTCCGTTTTATGGATGTCGCATTCGCATCCGACCGGATGCAGAAATTCTTTTTGGTCAGGACACCAGCCAGGAGACAGTGGACAGTAGACAGTAGTCGGCAGACAGCAGACAGGAGACGGGAGTGGAAGCCAATGCAGAAGAAACTTTCAAGTCATCACCCAGACAGCATGCTAAATTTGACTGGAAAAAGTTACGCTCTCTCGGCGACCAAATTGAAGTTGAAGTTTAGTCATTTGAGTCGACTGCAGAGTGGGGGCCCGGCCCCGGGCCGAAGGATGCGATGTGCAGAAGGACTTTCCTGTCCAAATTTAAGCTCAATTTGCATGGCTTAAATTCTGGGCCTTAAATTTCTTAAATATTTAAAGCTCTTTAATAAATGATTCATGTGCGTAGATCTTGCAGAGAATTTCTAAATAATTTTCTTTCTTTCACTTCGTACATCGAAGTT